TCGTTATTAAGGACGTTGTCGATATCGTTTCTGAATCGTTTTCGGGATTGTTTTCGGCATCGTTGCCGTTGTTGCTAATGCCCGCGTTTTCGCGCATTTGTTGATTCTTTTCTTCTTCTCGGAAAAAATGTAGGTAACGTTGAAGCATTTCTCTGTACAATTCCCATTTTTCGCGATCAGGCATCGTTGAATCGAGAATTCGTCTCATCTCGGCATCGAGTCGCGACAAAACGGTTCCCGGAGTGCGTACGATATTTTCACCGGATCCCGCATCGTTATTCAACGAAACGGCAAGAATCACGGGTTGTTGTTGCAGCTGCTGCTGTATTCTCGCGAGATTTTCCATAGAAACCAAAACCATCTTTCTTGCTCTTTCCATAATACATTCGCGCGAGCGCGCGTGCGCATTCGATTTAATTAATTTCGCGATTTATCGATAACTCTGGATAGGATAGCACCGAGCATAGACCTAATCAGATAAGGCAAACATCCTCCTCTTTGCACGAATATTCCTCTTGGCTTTCAAATTAGCGCGTTTACTCACGATATTCCGCAGTGATGATTTGTACTTGGACAAACGACTTTTTTCCCGCCGATCGAGCGGTACGTTACCTCTGAGTGTGTTGAAAGCGCATTCGCAGATACAAGCGATGAAATCGTTACCGACGCAGCGTAAGAAGGAAACCCGTCTTTCTTCGTTAAATAGTACAGTGTTTTCAGAAGGCAGACGTTTTTCCGGCCGATGGAGCGACACGCGATACTCGTCGCTTTATCGTTACTTCCGCGTTTCGATGTCATCGCAAAGACGCGACTGTCGTGATTCGAGTGAGCGTGCAGAGTTTTATACGTGATTTCCCGAAGATCCACGCGGGACGTAAACATAATGCGCGTTATCCATGGAGAAGATGCACGCGAGAAATCGATATTCGTCGGGAGTGGACTGTTTCAAATCGAGCAGCAAATATCTGTGCGGTCGCGAAGTAGCGTCGTGGTACGCCTCTTCCAGAAACTTCGGATCATTCGGATAAACTTGATGCGCTAAGTGGCGAATTAGTGCGCGATCGCGAGGATTTTTGAATACCACGATATAATTGCTGTTGAGAGAAATATCTCGCTGTCCATGGCCTTGATGAAAGAGATTTTGGGAAATCAGTATAACGCTGAGGTTCTTGTGATGACTACCTTTTGTGAACAAATCCACAATCACGTCGCAAGAGGACGATTCCCTCATAAGGTCGTCGATTATCACTAATTTCGCGCAAAGCGGATCGTGCGAGTAATCATCGGGGCGGGGTAAACCCTCGCGAAACTCGATTATATTTCCCCCCCGCGCGCTTTCCGATATCGCACGATGCTACCCCGGACTTTTCGCGGCGGTACAATGAATCCACTTCGTGCTGCAGTTGACGATAGGCCTCCTGCCACTCCGCGTAATAAAACAAAATTCTCTCGAAACGGACGTCGGACATGACGGACAAATAGCGAAGAAAAGTCTTGACGAAGATCGTTTTACCGCATTCCCTTGGACCGCAAACGATCGACGTCCAAGGATGCCTCCAGCGCACGTTCATGTCGCGCGAACAAACGGTCTCCGCGCGCGACTCTGGGAATAAAAAAAGACCGGCTCGCGAGCGCGGATTTATATCTCGAATCACGCGACTGTGGGCTAGCAAACCCACGCGGGGGGGCCCATGCGGCGGCCGCGGCGCTCGCGTCAGCGTACATCCAAGGGGACGCGCGCGCACCTCAGCGAGCTCTTTCCTGCGGTGCGGCGCGGTT